CATTATACTGAAAGTTCCCTCAATTACCCGTTCTTCATTTATCATAGCCAGCTGGGTAAACGCTGCCTCACTGAATTTCTGTCTGCTGCAACTCATCCTTTCTTTTTGATCCTATCTCCTTACTGTGTGCCTCCTGTTCAGCTTCAACATCTGTGTCGTCTTCAGTTTTGCCTCTGGTGGCAGATTTGTACAACCCTGACTTTATGCACTGGGTCTTTCTATTCACTCAGATACACGGCTGGCTGAAGCCTTTCTACAATCACTGACTAAATACAGACTGACTGATTTATTTAAGAGATGGTTTTCAAAGACATTACCAAAAAGATGCATGAACCTAAACAAGTTTGATAAGCAGGTTCCTTAGGAATGAGTAACAAACTCCACAATTTCTCTCCTTCTCCACATTTTCTTTCCTACTATTTCCCCTCCTTTTCTGCTTTCATCTGTTATAGCTTGCTTTGGTAAGCATGCTCTTGTTTTAATTTAGAGATTTTGGAAACTTATGTGACTCAAGAACTAAATCTTATGTTCCAGTGACTTTAAGTCAGTAGTAGCAAAGAAACAGGTTACATATTCCCATAGAAATTAAAACAGTTTCCAAGCCTCTCTAATTTCACTGCATTGCTTCTACCCCAAAAGGCAGCTCCAGCACCTAGACTCAAGCATTATAGAACTATTAGTTTTTTGCTAGGAATATCTTCTTGCACAGCTTCCCTTAAAAGTAAAGGTACCTTAGCTGAGAACTTGAAATGGAGTAAAAAGTTTTGGAGACCGTATCTACACATATATGAACATCAATAGTTTTAGAATACAATAATCCTTTGAAAACCTGTTAAGTGTTGAAGATCTTAAAATAGCTTTCATGTGTTTTCTTGAAGTTCATTCTGCCCTATTCTGGTGTGCAGTTTCTGAATGACATGTTGCTGCTGTCTCCTCCAGCAACAGTGACAGCTTTTCAGTGGCTCTTCCTGCAATATGCACTGACCTCGGAGATACCGGAGATCCTCTCTACCTGCTTAGTGCTAGCTTAAACATGTATATCAGTTTATCTCTGAAAAAAACCCCAAACCCAAACCAGCTGTTTGAATCTTAATCCTGAGAGATGAGATTTTTTAAAGGGCATAGATATTTTTCCATTGTAATCACTCATCTTTCTGAGAAACCTTTGAATCTTTGCCCAGAACTGCGCAGTGTGACAGATAGTTGCCTAGACATTCACATTCAACTCCATTTTCAACTGTAAGTTTCCACATACTTATATGAGATATATATATATAAAAAAAGAAACCTTCTAAAACCAAATACATGCTCAATGGCAATCACAAACATTATCTGTCCTGATGCTACCTCACAAACAGGCAGGATTACTGGAATGGGAGACACTATCAAGCATGTGGTTGCCTAAGCCATAGCATAACAGTACTGAAAAAGACCTTTTTTTTTATTTCAATCCCCTCTTCTATCAGCCAGAATATTTATTTATAGAGATAGCAGATTCATATTATAAGACCTAATTACATTAAAATTTTACCCTGATTCAAGTGGTAAGTAGCCACCTGTACTGTTGTAAACCTCTAATTTAGAAAGGGTAAACGAAAGTGAGGTTTGCCTTACCTTACCTGAGATGGAGTGCTGAAACCTTTTGCTGGAATTTGTAGGCGGATATCTAACAATGATGGGATGCTACACACCAAGCTGAAAAGTTGAATATGATTGCCCATTTTTGGAATGGCATAATGTTCTCCAAACATCTGGAGGAGACACCCCCCCTCAACTATCTGCAAATTGCTGAGTGCAATGGAACCTAAATCTTGGTTGATATCTGCATAAAGGAAAATACTGTAAGTTTTTATGAAAAATGTACATAAAAAGACTCCTCCATTGAGCTCACTCAGACTGGAAAGATCCATTTCTTCCCTGGGAAGAATCAGGTCTACCAGGCCTCCTGAGAGAGTGTAACCAGAATGTTAACAGAAATGGTTTGGAGGGAGTGGCAGGCTGTGGACTTTGAGGAGGAGGAGGATGGCTTGACGTTGAAATGCAGAATCACAGAATGGTCGAGGTTGGAAAGGACCTCTGGAAGTCACCTGGTCAGACTCCCCTACTCGAGTAGGGTTACATAGAGACAGTTGCCCAGGACTGTATCAAGACAGCTTTTGAGTATCTCCAAGGATGGAGACTCCACCACCTCTCTGGGCAACCTGTGCCAGTGCTCAGTCATCCTTATAGTGAAAAAATGTTTCCTGCTGTTTAGGAAGAACCTCTTATGCTTCAGGTTGTGCTCATTGTCTCTTGTCCTGTCACAGGGCACCACTGAAAAGAGCCTGGTGCCATCCTCTTTACACTTTCCACACGGGTATTTATATACATTGATGAGATCTCCCTGAGCCTTCTCTTCTCTAGGCTGAAGAGTCCCAGCTCTACACCGAGCTAGGATATCAGTTGTACAATATCATACCAACTGTAAGATAAGATCTCTTCATCCAACTACTCTGAGAAAAAAAAAGATGACATCCTGGATTTTTTTTGACTCTGAGACCATCATGGAGAAAAGGCTTTTTTGTTCTAGTCTAAAATACTGTAGTCAACTATTAAAAACTGTGCCGTTCTGAGCAGCATGTACTATGTTGCTGTAACATCTTATTACATATTTCTGGACATGTCTCTCCCCAAGGGGTAAACATCTCTTTTGGACTAGCTGAAAGATCCAGCATGAGAAACACTGAGACTGAAGCCAGGACTTGTCTTTGGAGTAGAGGAGCTAGAGAGAGGCCTATTTTCTTGCTTTAAGGGATTGATTTCCTGGGAAACTGTATAAAGGTCAGAAGCACATTATGCTCTATGTGATTGTGAAAAAGCCTCTGGACACTGATTTTACATAAATATTTACAACTACCATTACTAACCAAACCTGTTTTCAGCCCCTGCTGCTCCCAAGGAAGAAAAGAGGATAATAGGGAAGAATAGACTTGTGATGAACAATAGCAGTGAAAGTCTGAACTGAAATCACTAATAGAAACCACACTCTTATTTAAAAAAAAAAAAAAAAAAAAAAGAATAATAACAGCACCATGCTTTTGTTTTCTTTATTTTACCCTTGAGCAGATAACCTTTCATATTTTGGTAGACTAGACACATCAGTGATGATGTTTTTGTGATGTTGCAAAACTCCACTTTCTTCTTATCCCTCTGGGAACAAATTCATCCATGTCATTTAACCACAACACAGCTTTATAAAGAACAGAAAGACTAGAGGCACAGCAGTTTGTGGGGACTGAGATGCAATAGTATCTATTGTCTGTATCAACAGCTAGCTGAGGAACTGTCAATAAAGGGATATTCTTAAGTGACAACATGCTAATTTGGCATCAGAGAACTCACACATTAGATAGTATTTGACTCATTTCATATTTTTTAAGGTGATCCAGGACCTAAGCAGGCAACTTGTAGCTCTAGAGTTGCATGTGGCTTGCAAGCAGTTCAGAGGTGCCTCCTGTAAAGCCTGCTGTATCAGTTAGTGGCAGGACTGTTGGTGCGAGCTGCTGGGTAACACAACAGCACAGCTCAGAAGGAAGTGAATCAGCAAGGATTGCTGGGATAGATATGAGTCACCTTGAGACTCAGCCACATGCTTAGGTTTGTGGCTGAACCCTGACATACAGTGGAAGCACTGAGATCTGTGAAGAATTACTGTTTTTTCCTTTTTCAGGACTACTAGAGTTCCTCTTCCTTTCAGTTCTCAGAAGCACACATTAGCTGTCCTAAAGCATGTGATTGTCTGCACTTGAGTGGGACCAGGGTGCCCAAACCTCTAATGCACTTTTGAAATCCTCATCCATAAGCTACAAATACATGGAAATATGAATTAGATGTGATTAATATAATATACATTCAAAACAAAAAGAAGCAGCTCTTTTCATAGAAGAGCAGAATTGGTAGAAATCCCCAGAGCCTGTGACATTTCAAGCTAAAGTTGAAATAGATTTAGCATAGTCATTCCCATGCTTTGACAGTAGAAACTCCTACTACCGTCTGTGCACCCATATTTTACAATACAGTTATATTTACTAAGGTTTGCACCTGAAAGAAGGTGCAAAGGATACACATAAAAGGGTATCACATTTTGTGCTGCTGAACTGTGATTCACTTAGCTTTAAAAGAAATACACTTTGGTCTTACTGAAGGCTAGCCCATTATGAACATTAGTAAAACCTACATTGTGTATCTATCAATGAAAATAAACAAGACAAACCAGAAGAAACAGAAAATTTTATAGGAAAGGGTGTTAAAAGAAATTACCCAATGTTCAGAAAATTTGCAATGTATTTATTCTGCATCAGTTCTCCCAACTATGACCTGAGATTTCTACTACTTCCCTTTATCTATGCTGCCCATTGAAATGGTATTTGAGAGAACATTTATTATGATGGAGTTAGCAAAAGGCTGATGACAGAAGGCTGACAGCCTAAATTCCTTTCCTGCATTTTTTCCTGTAAACAGTACCACTACATATCAGACTGGCCTACTCTAGAAATACTGGGTTTATGATACATGCTCCAGAACTTGTGTTCCTGAAGACTGTAAACTTTTCACTCACTGCATTTCTGTGAATCCATCTATGGATATTTCTAATTCCTGAGTCTCATACTCCCAACAGACTGTTTTCAGTCTTTTTTCCACCCTCCATGTGGAATTTTGGTCCAAAGTAGAAGCTGAAGCTTCACCCAAATGCTTTGTTCTGGTTCACTTACTACTAATGTCAAGTTTTCAAAGTTAATGCTCTAGGATGCAAGTAGCACAACAGCAATAAGGAAATGAGAAGGTTCAATATGGATGTATAAATGGCAGCAGGAGTCAAACTCTGTTGGGCCTTTATAAATGGCATAATTTATGAAGATTTGAGAAGTTCATGGAATTAAAAACACAGTTCTGTTTCATGATTGACACAAAGGCCAAATAAGCAAGTCTGGCATTTCACAGATCAAAAGATAGTTGTGCTTAATAGAAAAGATGTTAGCTACAACAGATGTCATTTCTGCCATAAAAAGTTCATCGGAATAGCATCTCTGATCAAGTTGAAGATACATCAGTCTGTTTCTTGATTAAAGTAGGCCTTGTTAACACTGGTCACAGGATAATGTTGGAACTACTGGCACTTAAAACTTTCTCTAGTCTTCATTTTCTGGCTTCCAAGATGTGACAAAATAAAAATCTATCCAAATGAACTGTCACATTGAGCTGATGACATTTGGTCTACATAATAGTCTACAAAGGATGAGCCTACATAAGTTCTGGAATAAGGAATAGCCTAACTAACTACTCTGTTTTTAATATTAGAACTCTGACATAGAAATTTTTTAAAAAATTGAATGATCTGTTTCTATTAGGAACTTCTACAAGCTTTGCCTCTTTCTCATCCATCTACTAATGATCAGAGAGCAAAAGCATATTACTGCCTTTGGCAAACAGAAGCATATAGGTGATGGAGTACATTTGCAGTGACTGCCAGGTGGCTTTAAATAGCACTTTTTATTAAGTCTTTTAGCAACATGTAATTTCTTTCCTGCATTAAATGGCACTTGCTTTTCTAGTTGTTTTATTTGCAAAATACCATACATACAGTTAGAGGCTACAAGAGCATTTCAAGCTCACTAAGTAAGCTTGTACCCCATGTGAATGTCATGGCAGCTCCATTCCCACATTCTTAAGTGGTACATCTCTGGTACACTGAAACCTGAGAGACACCAAGGGTATGCTTATTCCCTAGAGTGCTTCTGTAGGAGCTGTGCAGGTGTGAGATTCATCTGGTCCTTTTGTTTTCGTGTCTTTGTCATTGCAGATCTCCACATCATGAAGTCCTGTCATACTATTTTTGTTGCCATCTATTAAGTCTTCTGCCATCTCTGTGCTCTTCTTGTTGCACTGACAGAAGTCACTGGAGCTCTCTAGAAAGTTGATGCAAAATTTGATAATAAGTGCTAGCCATGCCATCCCAAAGAGGATCCACAGAGAGATTACATTCTTGTACCAGCCTGGATAGGTGCGGTCTGGGTTCATCCCTACAAGAGAATCACCCAAAACATTTCTAGACTGGGTTGAGAGTATCTTAAAGGAGACATTACATATAAAGCAAAGACAGTAGAAATATAACCTGATATTAGTGATTTCTATATAAACCACAAGTATGCCATTTACTTAGCATGTGAACAGATGTTGTCATGAAACATACTTGCTTGCATGTCAGCAACAGCCTAGAACTCTCTAGAAACTGTAAAGATTACCCATAAGAAATAAAAATAAATCACAAATTACATCTATGATGGAGTGAAATTATTCACATTTAAGCACCGTTTCATTTCTCCACTTATCACTCCGCATCACAGTATTACACTAGTATGTAACTAGGGTTTCCCGTAGGCAGAGGTAGTCTTTCTGTCTCCCAGAGATTCAAGGGTGCATGTGTTTCTATAATCAATTTGTTTTTAATAAGAAAGTGTTTATCAAAAAGGTGTGTCCTGTGTTTCAGCAAATGCATCGGGCATGGGTCCAAACCCATTTCCTCTGGCAAAGGGTTCTGGCAACAAAAACTAGGCTGTGCCTGGTGCCTGACAGTCTACACCTAAGTGACTTAAGTTGCCTTTTAGAAAGCAGTTGTCTGGGGTTTTGAAGTGGTCACTGTCTGTTAATGGTGATGCAGAGTAGCATCTGCATAAAACTAATCGCCGCCAAGGCACTGGAGAACACCAAGTGCACTGTCAGCAAATGCTGTGATTAAAGACATGGCACTCCAGTCTGGTGGTGTAGTCATTCAAGGCACAGATGACCTGAATGAGCTGGAAGATTACTCATTGACTGGGAAATGGTTTCTTTCCACAGGTGGCATTGCTATCTCAGAAATCATGTCTTGTCCAATCTGTCAAATGCCTACCACAATGTATTTATCATCAGGTGTTTGGATTGCTAGTGGTGTAAAACTGCCAGGTTGGGAGTTTCATATGCCACACATTTGGTTTTGATGTTTAGCAGGTGAAAACAATGAAGTGTGAACTACTCACCAATCACATAATCTCCAAACCCTATAGTGCTGAGGGTAATGAAGGAATAGTAGAAGCCTTCTTCATAAGACCAGCCTTCTTTGTCAAAGAATAACAAGGGAGGTAGCAGGAGGAATAATAACAAGCCAGTTACCAGTGCACAGGTCTTAATCAGGAGGAAAGCTTTTTTCTGGTAAAACAGGAAAAAAAACCAAACAGACTGTCACAGGAGAGGTATCTGGGAAAGCCCTGTTCAGTTTCTGGTTGAAGATGATGCTGGACTCCATAAAAACCACACAAACATTCAGGACATTCTACTAGAATAAATGGTGTTGCACTCTCAGTCAACATGAAATGGGCCATCACCTTCATGAGTCCTAAATTGACACCAATTTAAAGCCTATTCCACAAATGTTCCCACATAACTTACACATGCAATTCTAACTATGACTGATGATAAACAAACCAGATATTCTAGGACTGTGCATGGCTCTAAGGCTCTGGCACTTCTGTTGCTGTAGAGGAAGCCATTCATCACAGAAGTTCCCCCAATTAATAAACAACCTTATCTGACACCTCGTAGGGCTGTCAAACTAAATTTATTTGCTTCCAGTTATTGCTATTATTGCCTTTTTGGCCAGTAGGCAGACTTTTGACAGCTAGGCAGACTGTTCTTGTTAGTCAGAGGATCCCAAATAGCAGACAATGCCCTTTCTGTCTTTTCCTTCCTGAACTTGAAGGTAAGGCATACCTGTCCACATTGCTTACCTGCCAGTGAAACACCCTTTCTAGGCGATGGGCACAATGCTGAACCCCCAACAGCATCAGCTGCCCAATTTCATTCAGGAGTACAAGGTTCAAGGGGATCCCAAAGAGTGCAAACAAGATGCAGAAAATTCGACCAGCCGCAGTGCTGGGGCTCAGGTTCCCATAGCCTAGGCAGGGAAGGAATAGAGTGTTAAATCTGAAGTATTCTATGCTTGCCCTCTTCTTTCCCTGGAGGGGTGAACCTCCATCTTCTACAAAAGTTAGACAAGAAGGTCACTGCTCTAAGAGGACCTTTTTTTATAAATAACTAAGTTACATCCATTGTTTGTCATATCCTATTGTAGGCTGGAAAATAACATTTCTTTCCCTGCCAATTTTGTTTAGTTCCTTTTCCATTTACCAATGAATTTCCTCTCCCATACGCACTGTCCTGGCTGGGATCTGACGTAAATTCAAAACTTCTATTTAGTTCAGTTTTTGTAAGCATTGTTGGCATAGGGTTTGCTGGTAAGTGATCCTGCGTGGCTGTCAGATGGTCTCTGAATCACAACAATAGTGTTTTAATTATAACAACCTTTTTCTACCTTTGTCCCACAGGACTAGTGAACTTAACACTGCCTCCTTGGTTATACTCCTCTTTTGGGCCACAAGTACCAAATATACCTTAAGCTTAAATTGTCAAAATGTTTCCTAGAGTCAGTAAACCCAGAGAAATTATACTTAACCTGAGTAAAATATTTCCATTTCACACCTTAATTGTTTAAAACTTTGGCTTTTTCTTCGAATCATATGAACTGGTCTAATAAAAGGTACTGACATGAAAGCACAGCCTTGCTTATCTGAGACCAACATCACTGCTGCAATATTTGTCTTTATTCCTCACACTCTCTTTTAAAAAGGTCATATATTTGCAGACTTGCACTTCCGTAATTTCAAGTGTTTTATGCCACATGGAAGCCAGATTTAACTTTGTCTTATTCCATAGGATGCTTTTTAAGACAGAGGAAGGACTATCACATAACAAGGATTTTGGCAGTGACTTAGCCAGTCAGCAACCTATGGCCTTGACTACATTTCAAAGTCACCTCCACTCATTACAGATTTGTGTATGTCCATATACAAGATGTACGTAACCTGGCAAAGCTTATCTTTTTACCACAAATAATACTATCTCCTCCCAGCAAAACCCAGGTGTTGGCACAGCACAAGCATAGAGGTGCTCCTACCATTAATGCCTTGCTACCATGCTTGTAGGTGGTACAGCCCCATGGCAAGCAAGCAGCCCCCAAGAGGGAGAGGTCCAAGGGCTGGGCTCTGTATGTAAGACAAGTGAGAGTGTAAACATCCAAGGTTGACCAGATGGAGTCCCGTTCCTTCGCTAACCTCTGTCCCACACCAGCTGCAGTAAGGACTGACCAACTACATAAAGGTATGTGACTGAGCTTGGAATATCTACATGTTTTGTGCCAAGTTTTGCACTGACAAAAGTCTCTTGCCATGGACAGCTCTGCAAACAGTTAACTGTGCACATGCACCGGCAAACTACCCCCAGAAAAAAGGTCTGTCAGCAAACTATTTCTCAGTTTGTATACAGGTTATCTTTTAATCTCATTCCTACTCCCCCAAATTCAACATTTGACTATCTGGAATACCTTCCCTTCAATAATTTTAGGCTTGAGTGATTTGTGAGCCACTGGGTTTAATGTATGCGGTAACACGTAATATACCTCTGAAGCGATGGCCCCAGCAACCAGGCCCTGGGAGGGGGCAGAGCATCCCCCGGAAAGAATGGGATGCTGTTACATAACTAGAGGTTGTTTTGAAATACAGTCAAACAAAGGGGCTAAATTAAGACTGTACAGCAGCCTTAATTCCAGTGTTATGTTCTTCACTTATGAACAACTCCACAGTGTTTACACACTTTCTCACCCCCCCTCACCAAGTAATTACCAATGTCAGCTTTTACCTTTTCTAGACTAACAGGTAGGATAAACGAGAGATATGCAGGCAAGTACATCTAAAAAGCATATGATCCCATCTAAATGAACTTAAGGGATATGTGCCTGGAGTGATCTGTTTCACATTGGCTGTGCCACATTTCAATGGATTGGTTCCAGTTTTAGTCTTTTATGGAATCTGGGCGTTTTGCAGGCTGGTCTGGACACAGGAGAAATTGCTGGGGGCATTTACTGTAAGGCTGGAGCCTGAACATGAGTCATATGTTTATGGCCAGCCATTCCCAAGGTTTTTTGGGGTGGTGGTGTTTTTTTTTTTTTTTTTCTCTCCCTCTTGCATATCAAGTTTAAAAAGACTGTGTTATAGCTTGCAGAGTTCTTTTTACCATAGCTTTCCAGGTTATCCAGTATCTGGAGAAAAACATCAGATGAGAAAGAAAGGTCTGTGATCTCAGAGGTCACTGTGTGAAGCACAGGAGCCTTCAGGATTTTGGGGACCCCACATAGTGCTGAATGAAGAGCATTTAAGGTTAAGCTGTACATTACATTTAATTTAGAGCAGCAAATTCAATGTGTACAGTAAACTCAGAACACCAAACACCAGATCTGCTTTGCATATGATTTCTCTGGCTCCCCTTTCCTTTGGGCTCAGCAGCTCAAAACAATTTCCTGAAGACTTGCTTGAGTAGCTGCTGTAAATATGCCAAAAAGCCATGTCCCATTAGCTTTTTATAAAGGATACAGTTTGATCAAACAGCATGGGAGACTTCAGATTATGCAAAGTGGCCAGCAATTTACATCTGGCTGATGACACACCCTTGATTTTGGACTAGACAAGTAGGTGCCAACCTAGTTGTATATAAGCCTCAATTGTTGTAAAACTCAAGTGTGAATGGGTAAATGGGACTTACTTTCTTCAGTAAATGCAATGAGGGTACCTGGTGTCTTAAACCAATGTGAGCTGTACATTAGAAGATTAGAACCAAGTTCAAAGACTAAAACTACACTGGCAGGTGCATCACATCCTTCATGAGCCTGCTACTGGGATGTCACCTGGTACATGCCTGCCCTAGGTTACACTGAGGGATGCTCACTAAAAACTACTGAGGTCAAAGTGTAAGCATTTTCACTGAAGCAGCTGCATTAAATGACTGCATAGCTTCTCTCATTTTGAAATAAAGTACAATGGAACTGAATCTTCCTTAGAAGCAGCAAATTAAGAGAAGTTTTATTTCTAAGCGTTCACAACCACACACTTTAACTCGTGCTACTGTTACACATATTAAGCAAATCCCATTTTGCTTTCCTGCTTACCCATTACATTCCTGTACTTAAGGGATTCAGAGGCTCTGCAGGCTTGCTAAGAGACTGATGTGTGATTAACAGATTATTAATAAAAGATCTCTTAATTCGCAAGACAATGTTACTTGCAGTGCCCCCAGTTCAGCCGAGGCAACTGTGACTTCCTGCTAGCCACAATGGGAGGTTTGTTTGATTTCCATTCTCACTGCCTGGACATGAGTATTTTAAGCAAAAAGTGCTTAGAATGAAAAAATATGTCTTTATAGGCTGAAAAACATCTGCAATTTCACCAAATAATTTCAGCTGTGGGAAAAACAGAATGATATTTTTAAAAAGCTGGAGGAAGAGTCACTTCTCTAAACAGTAAATTTAACAGTGGTTTGAACATTCAAATATGTTTTTTAAGAGATTTGGTTTAATTCTTTCTCCTACCTGAGTGGATACAAGCCATCACTTCTCACAGGATTGACCTAATCCCAAATTTACAGAATGTTCTTGTTGACAGTATTTTCCTTTGAACACCCAGATACTCAGCGAAGCCTGGGAGCCAGGTGTCTCTAGGCGAGACACACAAGTGTCAGATCCACAAGGACACTGGGCAGTTCAGTGAGGGGTACCAGTGGCAGAATTGCTTTATTTTGCATTACATATTTAAACACTTTGAGAAAGGTGCTCTACTTGGCAGTTGGGGTGATCTCCAGTGAGCCACAATCCTGTTCTCTTAGGCATAGGAGGAAATTACACACTGGTCTCCTACACCCTCAGGGAGTGCTCAAACCACAGAGCTGCTCCCACTACCAGCTGCTCCTCCAAAACTTTTCCAAATATCTACACTTTTCTTTCCCTTGTGCTCTTTACGAGTAACCTGAATGTTTTAATCTGGGCTAAAATGAAAAGTTTGTTTGTCATGAAATCAAATGTTGTACTGAGAAAAAATTAAAATATTCAAATCCAGTTTAGATGGAAAAGGCATCATCTTATAATTCATCAAAGTGGGAAAAAAACCCAAACAAACCTATTACTTACACAGCCTTAAGATAAATTTATCTGGTTCCTGAAAATATAAGCATGGTCCCAGCTTAGCTGGAAGGTGTCCCTGATAAAGCCCTCAGTAACCCAATCTGACCTCATAGCTGACCACTTTAAGGAGATTGCACTAGAGACCTTCTGAGGTACCAGGAAATCTGAATTATCCTACAAACATCAGGATTTTCAAAGGTCTTCTGGTACCACCCACATTCAACTGTACATCAGCAAGTCTGGGGTTCTTGTTCTCCTTCATACTTTTGAATGTCTCTGCAAGCACTAGCTACACAAAACTAACATACTTGGCTTCTCAACCTTCCTGTGAGATTTCACATTATACCCACCAAGTCTGCTCTAAGCGCAGGAACATTTGTCAGCTGGACACAGCCACCGACTTTGAACACCTGACATGAGAAAGCAGTTATTCTCAATTCATCCATCCATGGAGGATGACTTTAAGGCCTCCCAATTGCAGTAGAGACATAAACAGTCCCAGTACTTGCACTGGCATCTCAGTTTTATGATTAGAACAAACCAAAACACTAAACAATTTTATTTTGAAAGCTAGTGGTGGCAGAATAATAGGAACTGTGTCTTATATAGGGAAACTCATTGGAACCCTGACAGGTTGAACCAGAGCGTCTGGGAAGTGCCTGTCACTATTCATTTTAGCTGGTGCTGTGATGAAGTAGAGACCAATAACTACGGCTAGTAGGCTGAAAAACATGTTTGAACAGAGTTATTTAACAGTTTTAGCCCTATGAAGTTCCAGGCAACAGAAAAATTTCGCTGCATGCTGCTTCAGTGAAGGCTAGAAAAATGCCTGGGAAGAATACTGTAGTTAAATTTGTACTGTTTACACACTGGAAGCTATACAGTGGGCTAAGTCTCAACAGGACAAGATGGCACAGTCAGGAAGGCAGACCAAATCCGCCAGTGCTTGAGACAGCTGAGAGGATGGTGCTGCAAGTGCTATCCACAAATCTGCCAGTGACCTCCCACAAACCACTGTGCCTCATCCCACTCAGACAAGCCTGTAGAGCAGCTCTGACAGCTGCCACAGGGCAGGGAAAAAGATCACTGCATCAAAGGTGTGGGGCTCTTCAGCCTAGAACTCCCCTAAGCAAACCTGAGGTTCATAGAGCATTCAAATGTTCAAGTGGCCCTAGGTTATTATTCCATGTTTTAACTACCTCAAGACATCAAGTTGCTTTAACTGGATTTCCCAAGGGATCATCAGCCAGCAATGGGCAGAAGCCTGGCCATTTCTCAGGAGCTGCACCATAGGCTGGGCAACACTAGAGGGTCAGAGTCTTAGAGAAACTCTTGCTGGCCCAAAGCCCTACACTGCCAGAACTTCACAGCCTTGAAATGACTGTTCTTTTTTCCCCTCCATAAAAAACATCTGTGGCACACTAAATGTCTGTGACAGTGTAGTAAATACCACACCTCACTCAATAGCCTGCTCCTTGCCTCTTTACTAACCCCCCAATCCTTTGGGGGATTGCTGTTAGGAGGTATTATACTGTGCTAACCAGAGAAGAGAAGGACAGGGAAGGTCTTCCCCTTCCTTTCTTCACTATGAGATGGTTTACTTTCCCTATTTTTATGTTTAAAGAAGGGCTTTTGAAATGAATGCAAATGAGTACTTAGCTTTGCCACCAGAAAATGGTAATAGCATCTACCCACCCAAGATAAAGGGGGATGTTCAGGCTAGAGAGAAAAATACTGTTCCTTCTACTCTCAGGCTAGCACAGACAACTTCAGTCTCATCACAAATCCTTTCCCTAGCACCTTCTCTGAAATTACACTGCCCTGTGGTCGTTTGACTTCAGGAACTTTCATCTTGTGCCCCACTCTGAACTTGCTTTGATCTCTGCCCTGTTAGTCCAAACTAACTAGGAGGAGAGTAAACACAGAAAGGAGAGACACTGTCTCAGCAAGGGATAAAGATGTCCAAGAGATAAAACCAGCAGCAAGTTAGATTCTCTTTCTTTAATCATGTTTAGTACTACAGCTCTAAAGGAACTCTGAAGATGATTCTTCAAGGCATTGAAGAGAGTTACTATGGAAACATCTGCAGAAAAAGGGATCACATACAAGACCTGGGATGACATGACATGTAAAGAGACAGCAGCGAAGAAAGCACAGAAGTGTAACAGTGGAGAAGAGGGAATCAGCAGAAGGCCACGGCTGCCCATCCCACATGATCAAAAGTTATAAACGTAGTTCAATTCAAATTATGAGATCGGCCAAAAACTACATAGGCTTGGGGCACTTCTTTAAACAACAGATTTTCGTTCATACACATCTGTTTTTTAAACCTTTGGGATTAAGGCACCAAGTATTTCAAGCCTGCAGGTTAGAACTTTGCTTTGCTTTTTAAGGAAAATTTGCATACTGCTTTTTATCACTAGTGGAAATAGATAAGGCTGTCATTTAAATGAAAGAGGAGTACAGCACAGAAGATGCTTCAAGAGGAGACATGGGGTTTCAAACTGTGTCAGTGGGGAAAGAACCTCACACTCCTCAGTTAATGTTAACAGGGAATGAAGCTAACATCCCGTCCCATATCCCAGTGAGAGAGTGTTCTGGTAAGGACCTGAGAAACACACCAAGCCTTCTGAAGAGGATTAAAGCACCTAAAGCAGAAAACAGAAGCTGACAGAATGGAAAGAGCATCTCAAAGAAAAGCGATGAAGGTAAAAGTGATAATGGTTTTGGTAGTGCTGTTTGAGAAGACTAAGGAAGAAATAGCTGATGCCAAAGACATTACATTGCATAAGAGGCCAGCAAGGCATGAGCAGCATTAGTTGCAAGGAAAGAATATGGAAGAGACAAACAGGACAAAGAATGACTTGCAACAGCCTGAACATAGAGTGGAGTCCACCCAGATTCTTCATCAAAATCTTTATGTAGTACCCCTAAATTCCTGAGAATCTTTCTTCTGTTACCATTTTAACGCTATCCTTTCTGAACTCCTTTGCCAGAATGCCTTGTTTTGTAACTCCTATACATTTATCTCGTGAAGCTTGAACTCACTTTCAATGGTTCCATACACACAGCCTGGGATAAGTAATTCCTTGCCACAAAGACACGGAAACCTCAACAATGTTTTGTAAAACTTCTCAAAAAACCTTTTCAATGGGGTCATTTACCCCAGAGCCATGCCTTGTACATAAAACTTCCTACTGTGAATCACTTCTCTGAACTTCACTGTTCTTTGGAAAGGACCTTGTGTTTTACTTGACATAATCAGTTATCTTTCTCAGTCATGCAGTGATGTCTGAGTCAGTGAGGCTGCACCAGCCACTATCTCAAGAACTTGAGTAAAGAGGATGGGTAACAGACTCAAGATGAGGCTCTATGAGGCCATCTGTATTTTCCTCTCCTACAACATACTGTTATCAACGGAGAGCTAAGACACTAACCTGTATGCAATTAAAAATTTAACTTGAAAAAGCAAAATCAAGGACCCAGTTGTCTGAAGTTCTCTGCATACAGGTGACTTGTACAGCATTCTCAGCTCCACAGTTGAAAAGTCATGAACAAGTCCCTAGAGTCATAGTGCCACCTTTAAAACTATGAGACAGAGCTGTAATATTCGATTTTTTTTTTTTTTTTTTTTTT